AATCATCTTATCTATAGATAGACCGATAGAGAAAATTCCCAACCAATGATCGGCTATCTCTTTTTTTATAAATAAAAACATATTTCCATCCCTTGCCGTTCCCATACCGAACCGAATAAAATCATCCCTCGATCTCGAGCCTTCGGAAGTCGCGTGGCAATTTCTCCGCGAGCCAATTTCGAGAATCTTTTTTTCTCGTCGCGCACGTATTTATGATACAGACCATCAGTGTTGTCCGCGTGATAGACAGCAGGACATTTTCTGCAGTTTCGAGTTGCGACGTGTTCCTTTCGTCCCACGTAGTTCCCGGTGGTCCACGATCGGGATAGGGAAGAGAAAACGGCCACCCAAAACCCGTTTACTCGCGATCGAGATTAATTTATCGCGGTTTAATCGACAGATTTCTTCTCTAAAAGGGGAAGGGCAAAAAAAAAAAGCGAGGAAAGATTCGTCGCGTGTCACGAATAAAAATTGTAGCACGTTTATTCAATGCGCGCGTCGCGATGCTCGGCCACCGACTGTCAGCTGCGTCGCGACGGAACGTCGGCGCGATGCCCGAACACGTCCGAGAACGACCGAGAACGTCGAAACGACGCCCGGTGTGTCGACGACGATAAACACGATAAGCAACGCGTAAACTTCAAGGACTATCGCGACCAACAAGTTTTAAGGACTTTAAGGAATCGTCATCATGCTCATCGAATCGATCGGGATTAACTCCTTAGAGGGGTTAATTGAGAAAATAAAAAATTGGGGGGACGCGAAATAATTAAATTACTATATTTTGAAAATGAAATTTAATTCTTTGTTTATTCAATTAAATCATTAGATTTGGATTGGATTGGATTTGGATATCGATGAGTTTCTAGCTAATTTACTAAGTTTTGTGGATATTCCATTATCGAAAATGATCTTGGAATTTTGAAGAATTTGAAAAATTTGAAAAATGAATTTAAGAGAAAGAAGACAGAGAAAGAAGAGAATTATGGTAAAGGGATAAATCGAATCTCAAGATAAAAAGATTAATAATGATCATACAGATCAAGATACTGTCTGGAATATTTGGTGTATATTAATGAACTTCCAGCAATGGATAAGCTGTTTAATAGTAAGTATCATGATCTTTCAGAATAATAGTTTTAATTTAGATAATAATCAAACAATAGCTTCAGTTATCTATTCATTATCTTATATGTTATAACAATTATTCGTTATATCGTATCAGTGAACTAATAATCCTGTCTAAAAATTAAAGGAGTTGTATTATAAATTAAATGAAATATCAAATTAAATTATGATTGATTAAATTAAGATGAATTATATAGTTTTTAAACAAATTGCGTTACTATGAAAACCATCTTCAATTGAAATTACTTTATCAATTTATACAAATTTTAAATTTATATCAATACTTTATAGAAATTTCTTCATTGTTGTGATATATCAATTAAATTTAAAATCAAATCAAAACATAAAAGATTTATCCTCATAAGTCTAGAGTTAATCAAACTATTGAGTTATAAATCTATCAAATAAATCTTTTCATTTGTCATAAATGTATAATGAAATTTCTTAATAGTATTCGTAGTCTATCCTAAAATTTATAAATTCATTCAAGATAATATTGTAAAAATTGTAAAAATGATTGGAGAATAAAAATTGATATTTACAATAATAAAATTATATTTCAAAATATATCTTTTCTTTCTATGATATCTTTTAAATTATATCTTACATTCTTCTTCATTATTTTAAGAAACGAATCCCTTTGCCCAATATGCTGCATTGGCATTTCTCCTAAGTTCTTTTAAGAAAATCGTATCCCTGTCCAAAACACGACAAAAGCATTCACAAGTCGATCACTGCAGTTGTGAAGGGAAATACGTAGACATTCGATTAACCGCAATGCGACAAATCATTGAATCGTAAAAAAAATCAAAACAGATATATATATATATATGAAAATATAAATGAGATTCATTGTTGTTGTTGAATAAAGTTGATTAAAAATATTTTAATCAAAATTTTCTAAACAAAAATATGAAGAAAGAAATAATAAGAATAACTAAAAATTGATTTAAAAATCATTGCATAAACTTTGCAATTTCATTTATTATGAAATTTATAAATATATTTCTTGAACAATAGTTCATTTATATTTTCACTTAACGAATATTTTCTTTCTTACCATCTATAGTGTCATATCTCTTTGTTCTTTTTCTCTTCTTTCCTTTTCTACCAGTCGTCATCTTCTCAGTTATTTAATTACTGTTCCTAAGAGATAATCATTCTCTGGATCTGAAATAGAAAAAAAATAAAAACTTAATAACCATTACTGCAAAATGATTTTTTCTTTCTTATATAATAAAAATAATAATAAAAAAAAAAAGATTAATGATTTGATATATAATTTAATATATATAAATATATATAATGTAATATAAATATATAATATATATTTTATAATATATATTATATAATATAAATTTTATAGCATTCCATAATGAAGATATTTCACAATAAAGTATAACTTTTTTTAAATAAATTAAAAATTTAAATAATTTTTTTAAATGAATCATATATAGATTTTTTTATTTCATTGAATTATTAATTAATATTATTCTATGTACAAAATTATGTTAAATATAATTCATTATGAAAAATGCTACAAATTATAAATTAAATCTTACTTCAATTGTTTGAAATTTATATTTATAATATTATAATATGAAATTTTAATCTAATTATTCGCATTAGATTAAATTAATTTATTTTAAATGTATTTTATTCGTATTAAATTGATTCTTACATTATTATATTATTCTCAACACTTTTAAAAATTCTAGTTTTTCCTTTTTATTTTACAAGTATACATTATTATATTAATATATTTGTAAAGCTATTTATTTTTCATTTATTTTTCATTATGAATAATAAGTGCTACATATTCAATTGTGTTTATTTAATGAAAATTTATTTTATTTGTTATTCTAACTAATACGTAAAAATTCATGGATAACGCCAAAAATGTGACATATAACATATTTTCTTTATTGTATATATTAAATTATTCTTTTTACTATTTTATTTTACACATATGCATTTATAAATAAAACTGAATATAAATTTCACTATTTATTAATATTGAACCAACTAAATACTAATAAATATAAACAAAAAACAAAATTAATATCATTTTGACAACATTTGAATGATTTAAGAACGCCACCTGCATTACTGAAACATCGGAAATACTACGCAAACATTTGAACAAAATTTAACGTTTGTAAAGACTTTGCATGTAATTGTATATGAAATATAAATATTGTATAATAACAATAAAACAAAAAAATAATTTAATAAAATAATACAATATTTAAAAAATGTGAAATTAATTTTTTAACTTATAGTAAAAATTTAAAAAAAATGTAAACTTAATAAGAATATCATGAATTGAACATATATTATTTTTTTTTTATTCACTCTTAATCATAAGAAATTGAAATTAGACACATGATTCATGTTTTCAAATTTTTACAGCAAAGATTAATCATTATGATTCACAAAACCCGCCATATTTGTGTTAAATCTATATACGTATAAACGAAAAGTAGCCCTCTATTGTGAAATACTACAACTCAAATAAAAGTATACATATATCTAGCTTAATATCATGGTGCGCCATCTATAGAATTCAAAATATGGACATAATATGCGATTTCTTCAAAATCAAATATGATTGCTTTATGATTTTCAATAATGTAAAGAAAATATTATTATATATTTTCAATGAAATGCTAATATAATTTTCATAAATCTATATGAATATATAATAAATGAATGAAAAGATTATGTTTTTAGAAAGATATCTACCATCGTTCCAATGGATGAACTGACCAGCAACAGATTCTACGATGACTAAGCAAATTTTTCTTCAAAGCGTAAAAGCTAGAGTAAAATCAGAACTTTGGTGGTTTTTTGATATTGTAACTTGAAAAATTCAGTTAAAAAGAAATATCCATGGATGGAAAACGATCTATAAAAATGGTACGTTGTTTTCCTGCATAATGCATGATTTTTTTCTTATCAATGCGTCATGTTTCTAAGTCTATCAATGACGTAGAAGAAAACAAAGTATCATTTATAAATTCCTTGAAAAAAATATACATTTTTTATAATAATAATAAATTAAGAAACTAATTTTAATAATTATTACAAATCTTCTAAATGAAAAATAAAAATCATAAAATGTTTAAAAATGTAAAAAATAATTTTTATATTTTTTATTTTACATAATTAATGAAAAGATATAATCAATTTTTATACAGGATCCTCTGTCACCTGGACCTTGTCTAGACATTAGCGATGATGAACTAGTAACTATATCAGTAAGAGATTTAAACAGGCAATTGAAATTGCGTGGATTATCTAGAGAAGAAATAGTACGTATGAAACAACGTAGACGGACATTAAAAAATAGAGGGTATGCAGCTAGTTGTCGTATCAAAAGAATTGAGCAAAAAGATGAATTAGAATCAGAGAAAACACAAGAATATCGTGATATGGAAGCTATGCAGGAAGACAATAATCATATGAGAGAAGAAATTGAATCTTGGCATTCTAAATATCAAGCATTAAAAAAATTTGCATTAGAAAAAAAGATTCACATTCCACCTGAATTAGAAACTATATAAAATATTTATTTAAGTATTTTAAAATTTTGTATTAAAATAATAAAGATATTGAACAATTATTTGCTAAATATATTATTTCTAAGAATTGATTAAAGTTATTAAATGAAAATGAAATACAAAAACTATATAAAATATATAGTTAACTATAAAATTGTAAATGCTAGATTGCAATATTTGCAATCAATTACAATAATTGTAAATGATTTGTATTTATACTGAAGACTAAATATACTATATAGCATTTATTTATCTAATGTTTAATTTTTTCATAAATACTTTTAAATTATTAAGATTTTTTAATTCTGTTTTAAAATATAAAAAAATATATTTTTTTTAATTAGAAACATATATGAGATATATTTACATAAATATATTATGTAATCTTTCTTTCAATATGTAATAAAAATATTAATCTGCTAACCACATATATGTTAATTGAATTTCCCAATAATCTATATTTTTGTTTATCTGTTATATATTCTGGAAATATGAATTCTTCAGGAAAACACATTAATCTACATATTTCTCTAGGTGTAAAATATCGTAACATTAATTTTTCCAGAATTTTTGATACTTCTAATGATTGTCTTTCATATTTATTTGCTTCTGAAAATGCTTCTTTAATTGTTTTTTCTGAATATGGACAATATACAGAACCTGTCCCTTCTACATAGTGGCTATAAGCTTTTGTAAAACAACAAGAACCATTGCTTTGTGATGTTCGTATGTCCATTAACCAAACTCTTTTTTCCAACAATTTTTTAGGAATTAAATATTGTGATCCTTCAACATGCTCTAGAATATTTTCCAATGTATAACAATTTTTATCTGTTTTAGAATCTTGAGTATAACTTTTTTCCGCTAATAAATTATATTTACTTTTAGGAAGAATCTTTAAAATAGAATCTGATAATTCAAAATTTAATATAGATTGATCAAAACAAAATTCAAGATTGTTTTTTTTTGCTAATAAATAATATCTATATCTGGTATTTGGAATACCAAATTGACAAGGACTTAGAATTAATTCCTTATAATTAAATCCACTAGTATTTATGCATTTTAATAGAGCATTTCTCATTTCAGACTTTTCAAATCCTTTTACATTTTCAAGGAGAATATATTTTAATGTTTTTATTTGAGGAATCAATGAAAGAACATGAAGCAATGAAGAAGATCTGTTATCCAATATATCTTTTTGAAGTCCTATTCTTGTGTAAGGTTGACATGGAGGACTCATTAAGATAGTATCTATATTTAAATTATTTATCTCTTGTGCAGAAAGTGATTGAATATTACAATTCAAAAGTAATACATTTGGAAAATTATATTTGTATATACTATTTGCAACAGTATTTATATCAACTGCTGCAACAATGTCACCTTTAATACCACTTTCTGAAAATAAAATTTTTTGTGATAATTATATATTTTATTTAAAATATAATAATATTATTCATAATATTATTTATAATAATAAAAAATTTTGTTTAAAAATTTTTTTTGAGGTTAAATTTCTTCAATAATATAGAGGTTAAGTTTATTTAAAATATAGTTATACAATAATTTACCTTGAAGAGCATAATGCATTCCACCAATACCACTGTATAATTCTAATACTCTCATCATATTTAAATATTTATATTAATTTTTTCAATATAAGAAACTCTGATATCTCATTCCATATCACTTCATAATATAATTATATTGATATTTCTTCTTTATTTTTTCTATTATTTTTTTCTATCTATTTATTTACATTCATTATTTATATAAAATTTAATAATATTATTAATATTATATTTTTTATAAATAAAAATTCTAACATTTCTAACTAATAATAAGTGACATTAAACTAACCTAACATATAGTTCCACTGGTTATTCAGTAATGGAGGGTAGGCTTCGTTTTGCGTCGCGTAAAATTGAAAGTACGTGATTATTATAATTTTAAAAACTGTTAATTGTGTAATTAAAAAAATGTATAAAAAATGTAAATACACTTTATATAAAATTATAGTAATTAATAATTAAAACAAAAATAAAAATATATAATAGAAAAGTAATTCTAACCTGAATAATGTATTAAATTTTATTGCTATTTCGACAATCATTTTAATGTTCATAAAAATTTTAAATAAACATTAAATAATTATAATTTTAATAACATAAACAAATGTCGGTAATATTTCTTTAACAAAAAAGAAAAAAGAAAAAAAAAGACAAGAAACAAAAGGAATATGAATTTAATGCAAGACACCACCCAAATGCAGTTGTATTGCTAAAAAATGTTTCGAAGTCGAAGCTGGTTTGGTGGAGGGCTGTGGAAGCCCAAAAATCCTCATTCTTTAGAACACCTTAAGTATGTATATATATATGTGTATATATATAAACTATATGTAAACTTTTACTTTTTGTTTATTATTATATATAGATATTTATACCATGTTCTTTCAAAAAATCAAACAGTATCTGAAAATAATAGAGGCTTATTGGTAGAAACTCTTCGTTCCATAGCTGAAATTTTAATATGGGGTGACCAAAATGATAGCAGTGTATTTGAGTAAGTTTTTATAATATAATTGCTATTTGATCATATTAATAAATTTTGTATGATAAATAATAACTGTGTATTCTTTATTAGTTTCTTTCTGGAAAAAAACATGCTTTCATTTTTTTTACGTATAATGAAGCAAAAATGTGGAAGCTATGTATGTGTTCAATTATTACAAACTTTAAACATTTTATTTGAAAATATACGTAATGAAACATCTTTATGTAAGTTTATAACCAAAATTATTATAAATTTGTTTGATCACTTTTGATAAAATTTTAAAAAGATATATGTTTTCAGATTATTTATTAAGTAATAATCACGTAAACAGTATAATAGTGCACAAATTTGACTTCAGTGATGAAGAAGTGATGGCATACTATATCAGTTTTTTAAAGACTTTAAGCTTGAAGTTAAATGCGCATACCATTCACTTTTTTTATAATGAGGTAAACGAGGTACACATGATAATCCTCTGTGTCTATTATTTCACTTTTGCTAATCTCATACTCATTAATTTTAATAATAATTTTTTACTATTTCTTCCCAATTTTAATGTTATAATATCTATAGTTTTTTCTATAGTATTTATAGTTAATTTACTCATATGCTTTTTATTGTGATCATTTTCATTATCATTATCATCATCATTTAAATTCTGCACTTGATATATAAAAAAGAGTATGTTTTAATTTCTAATTTTTTTATCAGCACACCAATGATTTTCCATTGTATACAGAAGCAATTAAATTTTTTAATCACTCAGAAGGAATGGTTCGTATAGCAGTGCGAACTTTAACATTAAATGTATATCGAGTAGAAGATGCTTCTATGCTAGCATTTATAAGAGATCGCACTGCTGCTCCCTATTTCAGCAATCTTGTATGGTTTATTGGTAATCATATTATAGAGCTTGATACTTGTGTTAGAAATGATGCTGAGTAAGTTATTATTTAAAAAAAACATGACTTAAATAATTATATCAAAAAGATATTTCATAATATATATATATATATACATATATATTTCAGTCATCAAAGCCAAAATAGATTATCAGATTTAGTAGCAGAACATTTGGATCACTTGCATTATTTAAATGATATTCTTTGTTTAAATATATCTGATTTAAATAAAGTTTTATCAGAACATTTGCTTCATAAATTATTAGTTCCATTATATGTTTATTCACTTATGAAACACAAAAATCTTCTGTGCCAAAATCAGGTATGTTTTCAATTAGATTTAGAATTACTTGATATGATAATAATTTAAATTTGATTTGTTTATAATTAATAGGAAGAAAGAAAACATGTGAGCATTGTTGTAGCTTTGTTTTTACTCTCTCAAGTATTTTTAATAGTCTCTCATGGTCCTCTTGTACATACATTAGCAGCAGTAATGTTATTATCAGATTTAGAGACAATACAAACAGGTGCAAGTAAAGTACTTGAAATGTATGGTGATATTTCATCAGATAAGCCAATTGCTTTTTCACCACCAAAAGAAAGTTTAGAAAAATCTTTAGAAAATTTAAGTGAATCATTAACAATGTCAGATGAACTTTGTGAAGATGAAAATAATTTAGAAAGAAAAGATAGTGAGAATGGAAGTGAAGAAGTTTTAGAAATAAATCATGCCAGTACATCATTTGATACTGCTTCATCGGGAGATATGCCTATACTTATGAGTCCAGAACAACAAGAAATAAACATTCCAACTGAAGATTTAGAAGAAATCAAACACTTAAATGTTACTGATGAAGAAAAAGAACAAAGATTAGCACTAGAAAGTCCCTTAACACCTCATGCTCAAAAAAATGTAACTGAATCATTATCAAATAAGCCATTTTTAGAAACTATTTTAAATTCTTTATTCTGTACAGAAAATGATTATGCCGCTCTATTCGCATTATGTTTATTATACGCTCTAGCTAACAATCAAGTAGGTAAAACATTTTAAAAATATTGTATGTGATAAGATTTTATTTTTGTTTTAATTAAATAAATTTTTAAGGGCATAGATCGTAAAACTTTGGATCCAATTTTATGCAATTCACAAAATTCAACGACGAATTCATATAATGAAATTTTAATAGATAGACTGATTCATATTATAACATTAAGTTGTCAAACAAGTGAGTCATTTTATAGAATGTTTTTTCTAATTTTTTACATAATAATCGATAAATAATATTTTTATTAGATGCAAGAGTAAGACTTGTTACTTTGGAATTGACAATTAAATTGCTAATACAATTAGTAATGTCAGAAGGACAAAGCATGTTAAAAGATTCACATTTGGCAGCAATTCAAGCAGCCAAAGAACAAAGTACATCATTATTAAAAAATTTTTATAAGGTCTGTTATTATCAGATACTAATTTTTTTTCTCAAATATTAAAAATCATAAAAAAATTTTGATTTTATTTTTAGAGTGAAGATATATTTCTAGATATGTTTGAAGATGAATATAGCGAAATTCAAAAACGACCTTTGAATGTGGAATGGTTAATGATGGACAGTAATATTTTATTACCGCCAACAGGAACTCCAATGACGGGTATCGAATTCACTAAAAGATTACCATGTGGAGATGTAAATATTTTGAAGATCAAGTTTTTTATTTTATTATTAATATAATGAGTTATTAAACTAATAAGAAACAAAATTAATGTTTATATAGGTTGAAAGAGCAAGACGCGCTATAAGAGTATTCTTTTTAATAAGAGATTTATCATTGACTCTTAATATGGAAGCAGAAACACAATTGCCATTAACGAATCCAGCTAATTGTATTCAAGTTGATAATGTTCTTGATCTAAGTAAAAGTTACTTTGTTTTTTATATTCGAATTAAATATTCATTTATACAAATATTAAATTATAATTATTTTTTTATATAGACAATAGCGACTTAATCGCATGTACAGTTGTATGGAAAGATGGCCAGAAAATTCGTCGTTTTCTCGTCATAGATGTAGTACAATTAATTCTTGTTGAACCTGATACTAGTAAACTCGGTTGGGGTGTAGCAAAATTGGTAGGATTTCTGCAAGATATCGAAGTCGCAGGTGATAAAGATGATTCTAGATGTTTACACTTAACAATTTATAAACCTTTAAGTAGTAGTACTGGCAATCGTGTTCCACTATTATCAACAAAATTCATTTTCGATGATCATATAAGATGTATGGCCGCGAAACAAAGGTAAGCTTACGTAATATAATATTTGTTATATTTCATTTTGTATTGATTTTTTTTATTAAAGGCTAACAAAAGGACGAATAAAAGCAAGACAAAAAAAAATGACTCAAATTGCAAGATTGCTGGACATTCCTACAAGCATACCGCACGCTACAACACCACCAAATTATGCACTACGTGGTTTTCGACATGAACGTAAGAGATATTATTGCAAAAATAAATAAATTTGATAAAAATTATAAAAATTAACATTTTAGTGTAATTTTCAGGATTAATAGGACGTGGTTCAAGATCAAAAGATCATCAATCGCGTCCAATGTTCACAGTAAATAAAGTTCCTGGATTCGCAGCACAAATGCGTAGAGAAAATATTACTAGACCTACCCCCGGTCTTTCATCATCAACTTCAAAACGCAGCGATACTATTTCAAATGAAAAAAGTCACGAAAATGGTTTACGATCTCGAGATAATTCACCAAAAATGCCAAGACCACGAAGTGAAGAAATTCCTTTAGAAGATATGCGGCTTCGAAAAGCATCTTTAACTTCTAATGGAATAAATATATCACATATATGCCAAGAAAAAAAAGATGGTCAAATTTCTGCTTGTTCTACTAATGGTGAGTCATCAACTGTGATTAGAAAACATTCTGAAGAAACATCATTCACCTGTCCACAAGAAGTGAAACCACGAAGAAAAGGCCAAGTGGAAACAATATGATTAAAAAAATAAATTTTTAAAAAAAACACGAAATTTTTTTTTTAAATATTTTAAGAAAGAAAAAAATAAAAATGTAAATGCAGTATTAAATTAAAAAAAAATGTTTGATTAATATAATAAAAAATTTTACTATAATTAAAAATTTTAAATATCTTGTGTTTCGTAATTATGTTCGTAAATATGTTTCATTTTTCTTTTCCATAAGGAAAATAATATTTTAAAATTAATTTTGTAAAAAAAAAAGTGATATATATTTAGTAAAATCAAGTATATAGGTGAAATTAGTTTTCTTCAGTTTTATGCTATGTAACATAAATATTTTGTACATACATTATATCTACATACGTATACATAAAATGTATGTTTTTGTTATTTAAATATTATAATCATTCATCAGATAATATTCAACAATTATGCAACAAAAATCATATATTTAATTTGTATATATATTATTATTATTGTTGGAAATTTCTATAACATAAAATAAACACCAATAATGAAATAAATATTTTCTTATTTTCGTAAATATCATTCCGTATACTGTAAAATATTATTCATTAAAAATATTACGCAATCCAGAAAATCACTATTTTAGATTTCTCAATAGTGATTTTAAAATTTATATTTTTTTTAATTCTATAAACAACATTTGAAAAATTTTATCATCAAATTGAGACAATTAATGCCAAATTAAGATTAAAATTGGTATGCAAAATGATTACCTTAAATGCATTTCTTATTATAAGTTAACTTGTATGCACAAGTTATTCATTCAATCAAAAGAAATTAATTCTGCTGTTTCCGGTTTCGAATCCTCTTTTACTTGGGAAGATTCATTTGATGCAGCTGGTAGAGAAGTTGGTGGTTGATATTGTAATTGTTGTCCTTGAGATACTGGAACTTGAGTTATACCTTGCATAGTTGGTACACCAGGTGTCTGAGAACCTTGTATTGGTGGATTCGATGTTAAAATCGATCCAGTTGTAGTTCCAGATGGTATTTGAATTGTTGCTGATCCTTGGGATGAAATAGGTGTATTTGAAACATGAGGTTGCATCGAAGATCCTTGAGGACCTGGCATTGAAGATGATTGTTGAGGTCCCATTTGCAGACCTACAACTTGTCCTGGAGGGCCGTGTGCTCCAGGTCCCATTTGTGCAGGTGATGGACCCATATGACTTTGTGGTACCTGAGGTATAGTATGAGGAATTTGATTTGGTGGTCCTGGCTGTGTAATTTGTGGACCCTGATGTGGCGGCATATGCACTGCTGTTGATTGTGTTTGTGTCATATGACTTGGTGGAGGACCTTGTTGCGATGGAGGTCCCATTTGATGTCCACCTGTTTGCTGAAGTTGCGGTATGGGATTTGTAATTTGAGACATCTTCAAAAAAAAATATAGAAAATAATTAAATAAAATATATGAATCAAAATATTTTTTAAATTATATAAAAAACAAAGAAATATTTTTTAAAAATATTGAAAACAAATATATATAAATGTATATAAATATATTTAGAATTATACTAACCATTCCTGGTCCAGAAACAGAAACTCGACCCATCGCCTCATGTCCCTGGACAGGATCAGTTGGTTGTTCTTGATTTGTTATTGGTCCCATTACATGAGGTGGCATAGAATTCATTGGTGGTATATTATAACTTTGCATGGGATATTGTTTCATAGAAGGTTGCCCATATATAAATCCTTGATTAGTTGGCGACATAGGATTATAGTTAGTTCCTGGTGTTTGATACTGAACGTGACGAACAGGTGAACCTTGAGATGGTCCAATAAAACCAGAAACTGCTTGATAACCACCTAAATCATATTTAATGTAATAAAAATTATTTCATATTTAATTCAATTTACTTTATTGAACTTATATGTATACCCATTATATATTGTTGCTTTTGTTGTTCTTGTCTCATTTGCATTTCTCTTTCTTGTTCTTGAATTTTTTGTAAAGCAAGCTGACGTTGATATTGCAAATATTCTTGTTTTTTCTTTCTCATAATTGCCAATTTTTGAGCCATCAACATTTGTCTTTGTCTTTCAGCTTCTTCTGCTTGTCTTCGTAATTTTTCTCTATGTTCTTCTCGTAAAGCATCTAAAGCAGCTCTAGCATCTTTCATTTGTGTTAATTTATCCTGAAGACCTTCATAATATACTCTACTATCATCTTGTTCTTGAATGTATCTCAATAATCTAAAAAAATTTATTATATGATAAAATTTTATACGTGTATAAATTAAAAATATTCTTTGAAACAAACCTGGAATGCATAGCAGTAATATTTAAAAACAAAGTTTGTACTGAACTATCATTAGCAATTGATCTTCCTCTTGATGAATTACTTTTCATTCTATTAACAAAAATTTCAACTTGAGAACGTAAAGCATTAACAAATTCTTCCATTTGATTATCAACTTCTCCATTCTGTTGTTTTGTGATTATAACTTTTTGTGGCATTGGACTACTTATATTAGGAGCTGAAGGACTTGTAACATCTGCTCTGGAACTATGCTCTTCAAGTGCACTTTGTCTCAGTTCCCAACGTTTACGATTCAAATACTTAGCAAGTTCTGGATCAACTTCTGCTTCTTCTTGCTGAAAAATAAAATTTATAATACATTTACAATATATATAAAGTATTTCTTTTATCTCGCAAAATAAAAATACAGACTTAATATATCAAAAAAATGTTTTTACAAAAATTTGCTTTACAAAAAAAACATTATGATGTAAATTATTTTTTTGTAAATTTTTTTTATAGTGAAAAAGATTTTAACATAAATAGAGCCATACAATTTCAGATTTCAATTTCAGATTAATCAATTTATCTGAATATTTTCTATAAAATATATTATTATTATTTATTTTGTTATTATCTCATTTATTAATACTTATATGTTCTATAGATTTTAACTAGAAATAATAGCTAATAAAAAAAAATTTGTTTTCTATGTGTTAGTACAAAGATTATCTTACTGAATTAGAGTCAATCACAAATTATTATTTTCTTCTGAATTAAAATATTTTCTAAACCGATATTAATAATAATTAAGTATAAATAGTTAATAATTTTTTATAAGAATTTTGCGAGATAAAAAAAACATCCTATACATATATTTTTTTTAGTTTGTGTTTTTGTAAACAAACAGGTGATGGCGGTGGTGAAGATGTTCTCACAACACGTGTATTAGGAGGATTTATTTTTGCTGCACGATTTCCTCTTTTTTTTTCTTTCTCTTGATGTTCTGCTTCACTTTGACTTAAAGCTATAGCAAGATTAAGTTCTTCTTCTTCTTGCAACTCAGCTGCTGTTTTTCTAGGAGGTACCTAATAAAATAGAATATTTTTATTTTATGTACATATTTTTCATTTTAATTTTCATTTTAATTTTTAATTTTTTTATGCAATTGCATACTTGCTGTTGTTGAGCTAAAGAACTGTTAAGATATTCAGCAGGTAAATCTGCTTCTTTAATTTGAGCTGTAGATGGTCTATAAAAATAAATGAAATAATTGAAAACAAAATAAAAGTTATAATATAATAAATAAGTATAATATAATAAAAGTTATAATACATTATAATAAAAATGTAATACTTACTTATTAAGTTGTTCATAACATGCTTCACAAACTCTAACTTCCTTTTCAATTCCAAACTTAGGCAGTGTAGATACTTTACTTGAACACTGACTACAAAATACTTGACCACATGCTCTACAATGATGTTTTCTTTGTACCATTCCGAATGATACTCGACAACGATGACACACATCTCCATCTGCCCATGCTGGAGCAGTATCAGCAATAAACATAGCATCACTTTCTTTCAAAGTAGGAAATTTATGTCCTTCAGCTTTCATTATATTAAGTGTATCCTAAATATTTTATTAATATTAATATTTTACATTATTAAAAATAAAATAAAAATAAAAATAACATATAAGCATTTTTATTTAACATACTTGCACTGCTCTATATTTAGGACTATTACGAAATGCATGAGCCCAAGCTTGAATCAATTCTAAAGTTTTAAGTTTAACATTTTCATGTGTTGTTGTTTTTACTAACTCTTTAAGTTGTTCCATATATTGTTTGGTACCAATTTCATCATGTATCAATGTACCACAATTTTTGACACAAGATTCTAGAACCTTAATAATAAAACAACATGTTTGTAATATAAATAATAATAAATAAATAATAGAATATTTATCAAAGCATTAAGTTTTCTTACCAATAGAGCAAATAAAGCTACATGTGGATTTGCATTTGTCATTTTCTTTTTTATAGCTGCGAGTGCTGCTTTTGGTCTGTATATGTAAAAATATATAATATATAAAATTTGATTTTTTTTTATTAATTCATATAAACATAATAAGATATTAATAATAATAATTAGATATTATTAATGTTATCAATAATGGTAATGAAAATATATATAAAAAAAAACTAAGAAGATTTAAATAATTTTCAATTTAAAAAATAACTTTAAAAATATATACATATATTTTAAAACTAAAACATTGTTGTTTCATCATTTCACATTAAAAAATAGTAAGGTTAGCTTTAGGTTAAATGATAATATTCACTTACTGCACGTCTCCTTGACGTATTAAATCACATATTTGGAGTATTGCTACCCAATCAGGTTCAAGATGCAAATGACTCGTTGCTTTATCTAATAAAAAAATTAAAAATATAATTTGACAATCGGACATTTTGTTCACTTGATATAATGAAAAAAATTTACCTAATAATTTATCAAAAGTAAGCGAACTACGAAACATTTTGTTTAAAAATGATTTTTATTTAGAATTTTCTTTAAATGCTTAAACTTTTCCGAATATTTTTGTATAACCGACAATTAACTCAATTTAACAACTACTATTTCGTACACAGCACTGCTGTTCTACTAACTGACTGTAATATAGTAAAAATATGAGTATTAGTCACGTGATTTGTTCACGCAGATTATAATCGACCAATGCAATCGATTGTGCGAGAAACGAACGAGACAATCGATTTGATTTAGTAAATTTTTAAATTTTCAAAATATATCGAAAATTAGAAGTAAAAAATTATGATAAAATATTTGTAATTGATTCAAACAATATTACAAACAATATTACATAATTAGAAAAAAAATTTTAAAGCTCGAGAATGATAATCTATGTTGTCACTATCAATAAAATAAAAAAAAATTGTAAAACTCTTTTCTACTTCATCAAAAAATTTATTTATTTATTGATATCAATTTGCAAAAAAATCTAATACAGACACACACAATATTTATACACATTCAATAACAATTCTAGAAATGCTTCATGTTTATCATTAAATCGTAATAAACGCGTTATGTAGCACTTCTTTTTTTTACTTATTTAAAATAAGTAATATTTTAACATAGATATCTTTCTATAAAAATTATAGAAAGAAATAAAGATAATAAATGAGATGTTTTATATAAAGGAAGGAACAATTAGAATAATTGATACATAATTATATACAAAATTATCTTTGCAAAGTTAATTTTGTACTGTATTCAGAATATGGTGCTGAGGTTTCTATATATGCATATAAAATTTCATATTATGTTATAAAGCGTTTTAAAATAAAGTGTTATTATAAAATTATGAATACGTAGTCGCATATAAAAATATTCAAATATGTATCACAAATTACAGTCGAATATTGCATACAAGTCCCTCAACCAAAAATCCCAATTTTCACAATGTATGATTTTCCAACGACTTTACGATTTCATAGCGAAAAATCATAAGAAAATTCTAGTTATATTTTTCAATAATTATTACGAATTAATTCCTATACATAAATCAATATAGACTATAATTATTAATTGCCACAAGATGACTGCTGAAGATCTGAATATTTTTTTATGAGATCTTCCGTAGCCATGTTATGCATATATATATTTAAATATATTCTAATATCTTTCCTTCAAATATAATTATAAAACAAGATAACGTAAGAAATTATCCTGAGAGTTTACTGTCCTTTCGAACTATTAAAACTTTCTATCGAGATAAAGAAAATATTTTTTAATAATTTATAAACTTTAAATTTCTAGCAGACAAATTAATTTTTTCTATTGGAATCTTCCATTTCTTATCCCAATTCTCAACATTATCTTCCAGCGCAGATGCACACATTGGTAATCGTAAAGTACGTTCGCATCTTCTCGAAATCGACCAATACAAGTAGTTTTGTGGACATTTGTACATATAAGCCTGAAGATTGCCATTGAAATCTCGTTTGCAATTATAGAATATGTTGCTGCAACCTGATTTATAAGGATAATGACCTTCTTCCGAACAAAATGATTCGTTTGACACCTTTATCTAAAATTGAAACGTATATATTTTAAACAAAATGCATATAAACTTATATATATATATATCAAATTGTTTAAAATGGTATACTCACAGGAGATACTTCACTCTTCTCCAATCTTCTATAAAATCTACCAATTGCTTTACTACCAGTACAAGGTTTAGTGGCTTTACTTTCAGACAAACATTGCATTTTTTGTTCATCGTAAATTTTTCCCTCTGGACAGCTTAATACAAGTACGTTTATCTCCATATTACCTTCAATGGTACATTGATAAAATAGATTGCAGTATTTTGGATGTCTTCGGAAACCTGTTGGACAGATTAGTGCTATCTGTTCGTCAGTTAAGTTTCCGATTGGACAAGGCGTTTGAACAGAAGGTTCCATGGTAGAAATCGATATTTGTGTAGTGGATTTTTGAGATTCTGTCGTTGAAGTCGATATTTCAGTGGATTCAGTAATTTGTTCCGAGCTGGATTCCGTATTACTTTCAGTAGTTCCTGCAGAAGTTGATTCTATCGTTATAGTAGAACTAGAATCTGTACTTACTTCAGTTGTAATAGTTTCTGAAGTTGATTCTGTGGTTGCTTCTGAAATCAATTCGGTAGTTGTTTCGGTAGTAGATATTGATTCTATAGTTGCTTGAGATTCACTAGTTGTATCAGATGTTGATTCTGTAGTTGCTTGAGTCGTGGATTCACTAGTTGATTCAGACGTAGATTCTGTAGTTACTTCAGAGATAGCAGTAGTTTCGAAAGTGGATCCAGTGATTGCTTCAGATGTAGATTCTGTATTTATTTCAGACGTAGATTCGGTTGATACTTGAGACGTAGATTCTGAATTTGATTCAGTTGTGGATTCTGAAGTCGTAGATGATTCAGATGTTGACTCAATTGTAGACGATTCAGAGGTTGTTTCAGATGTAGATTCTGTTGTTGCTTCAGAAGTAAATTGCGTACTTGATTCTATAGTTGTGCTCGTTTGCGTCGAGGATGAAGTTGTAGATTCAATTTCTTCAGTTGTTATCGACTGTGTTGTAAATTCAGTAGAAAATGTTGTTTGTTCTGTACTAGTAGACGAGCTCGACGTAGGCATTTTACAATCTCTTGGAGGATAGACTGATTCGGGATAATTACATACGTTAATGCTAGGATCAAATATAGTTCCAGGTGCACAATCGAAATAATATACGTTAAAACCATTCCCATTATCGACGCAACGATAGAATTTGTTACACTGTGTTGGATGCGGATAGAAACCTGGTTTGTTACAAACTATAATATTGTTAGGATTTTTCGAAGTACAGTCTGAAATACTTGATTCTGTAGAAGATATCGAAGAAGTTGAGGATACAGAAGTTGAGTTTTCAGTACTCGATGATTGTACTTCCGTTGTACTCGTACTTGTAGGAATTAGCATACTATTAGTAATTGAACTAATAGTAGTAATAGTAGAACTACTAGTAATAGTAGAACTAATAGGTGTTGTTAAATCAGATGCTGCAGAAGTGCTTGAAGATTCTTGAATATGATCTTTATTGTCTGAAGAGCAAGAAGTTACCTGGTCAATATAATTACAAGTTTGAAGAATTTGATCCCAAGCCGTACCAGGTGCACAGTCAAAGTCATATCGTTGTAATCCATTTTGAGAATGTACACAACGGTAGAATTTCGTACAATCGTTTGGATTTGGGAAAAAACCTTCTTCTGAGCATTGCGCTGTTCCAGAAGATGAACTGGTTATAGTAGTTCCTGATGTTGGTGTAATACTGCTCTCCGGTGGCAAATATGAAACGGATATTGTAATACCTGGAGATATTGATTCAGAACTGACCGTAGTTGTTTCTGATACAGGTGGTATGGTGGAAGCTGATTGTGTAGATTCAGAATTAGTACTTGTTTCAGATGCAGTGGGAGATGATACAGTAGTTGTTTCTGGGCTAGATGTTGTACTGCTCTCTGGTGGCAAGTATGAAACAGATTCTGTAATATTTGGAGATATTGATTCAGAACTGGTTGTACTTGTTTCAGTTGGAAGTGACGTAGTAGAAAGTGATATTGTAGATTGAGAACTCGCTGATTCAGATGTGGAAGATGGCAAAGTAGGCTGAGTGATAGGAATATTTGATTCAGCTGTAGAAAACATAGTGGATGGTGATACTGTTGATGTAATAATTGTTGAAATATCTGTTTGTACGTTGGTTAACGATGTAACATCAGATGATGATGTCGATGATGGACTAGTTAATATAGAAGATGTTGTGCTGTCCGATGATATACTTTCTGTTTGTGTACTTGATTGACTAGAATTGCTATTAATTTCATTTTCAGATGAATTTGATTCTGTAGTGACCATAGATCCATTACAACTAGTAACGAGATAATCGTGATTACAACTTTGAAGAGCTGAATCCCAAGCAGTACCAGTACCACACTGGAACTCATACTTGATAAATGTTGAACCATTACCAACACAACGATAGAATTTACGACAATCTTCAGGATCAGGAAAGAATCCTTCTTGAGTACATTCTATTTCAGGAGACGTACTAACTGTTATGGTCGCCGCAGTAGTAGATAGTATATTTACAGGAGGTAAATAGGATATTGATTCTGTAACAGTTCCAGAAGAAGTGGATCCGGGTTCAATTGTCTGAGTAGTAAGAGAAACGGATGAAACAGTTGATGAAGATGTTTCTTTAGATATACTAGATGCAGTAGTAGTAACAGTAACATCGTGGTCAGTTGAATCTTGATCTGTAGTAGTGCTCAAAGAAATAGTTGACTCTGGATAAGAAGTGACTGAAGAACTGGATGAACTAGATCCCCCTTTACAATTTGAAACGAGGTAATTATGATTGCAACTCTGAAGAGTAGAATCCCAAGCAGTACCAGGACCGCATAAAAATTCATATTTAATAAATGATGAACCACTTCCGATACAACGATAAAATTTATGACAATCTTCAGGATCAGGGAAAAATCCTTCTTCAGTACACGTACCAGGAACGTTTGTGCTTCCAGGGATACCTAAAAGATACATTAATAACTAAACACATATAACTTTTATAAATAAGATATATATATATATATATAATTATATTTATAAAATATATATAATTTTAATAATCATAAAATAACATTGATAACATTGCAATACCTGAAGAAATATTAGGCGTGCCAGAAGTACCAGGAGTAACAGATATATTAGGTGCACTAGAAGTATCAGCAGATTGAGATGAATTAGAAGAAATAGGAGAACTGGAAGCACTGCTAGTGATAGATTCACTAACAGAAGCAAGGGTCGAAGAAATATTTTGTGTAATAAATGTGCTAATAGATAAGGGATAAGGAGTATTAGAAGTCCCTAATGTTTTTGAAGTCACAAGAGTTTTTGTACTAACTGTAGTTTCAGTAGTTGAAAATTCTGAATTATTAAAAATTTCTGTGCTCACTGCAGCTTTAGTGACTGTAGGTTCTAGAGTGACAGGTGATTCTGTATTAATTGAGACTTCAGTAGTAGGTGGAGATTTTGGACTACCAGGAGTTTCTGTGCTAAGTGTAGAAGTAGTTAGAGGTATTGAAGTGCCAGAAGATTGTGTGGCTTCAGTAGTGATAAAAGATTCTGGAGTATCAGGAGTTTCTGTGCTTACTGTAGTTTTATGAGTAACTGGAGGTACTGCAGTGCTCGAAGATTGTGCTTCAGTTGTGAGTGTAGATTCTGAACTACCAGAACTTTCTGTGCTCACTGTGATTTCAGTGACTATAGGTTCTGGAGTGCCAGGAGATTCTGTATTAATTGAAGTTTCAGTGAGTGGAGATTGACTACCAGGAGTTTCTGTGTTCATTATAGGAATAGTCGGAGGTATTGAACTGCCAGAAGATTGTGTAGCTTCAGTTGTGGGTGTAGATTTTGGACTACTAGGAGTTTCTATGCTCACTGTGTTTTTAGTGGCTGTAGATTCTGGAGTTGCAGGAGATTCTGTACCAACTAAGGTTTCAGTAATCGGTGGAGATTCTGGATTACCAGGAGTTTCAGTGCTCATTGTAGCTTCAGGAGTAACTGGAGGTATTGGAGTGCCCGAAGATTCTCTGGATTCAGTTGTGAGTAAAGATTCTGGAGTGCCAGGAGATTCTGTACTAATTGAAGTTTCAGTAGTGAGTGGAGATTCTGGACTACCAGCAGTTTCTGTACTCACTATAGGAGTAGCCGGAAATATCGAAGTGCTAAAAGATTGTGTAGTTTCAGTAGTGACAGAAGATTCTGAAGTACTAGGAATTTCTGTGCTTACTGTAGCTTCAAGAGTAACTGGAGATACTGAAGTGTTTGAAGATTGTGTGGTTTCAATTGTCGGAGAAGATTCTGGAGTTTCTGTGCTCACTGTAATTTCAGTGGCTGTAGATTCTAGAGTAGCAGGAGATTTTGTATTAACTGAGGTTTCAGTAATCGGTGGAAATTTTGGGCCACGAGTTTCTGTGCTCACTGTAACTTCAGAAGTAGCTGGAGGTGTTGGAGTGTTAGAAGATTGTGAGGCTTCAATAGTGGATGCAGATTCTGGACTGGCTTCAGGTTCTGTGGTCAATGTAGCTTCAGATGCTGGAGGTTTTAGACTAGCAGGAATTTTTGTACTGAATGTGGTTTTAATCATTGAAGTTTCTGTATTTATTGTAATTTCAGGAGCGGCTGGAGTTTCAGGTGGGTGATGTGCACTTATTGAAGATCCAGATACAATGGTCGTTGTTAGTTTAGTATGTGTGTTTGTTGTTTCAAATTGCCCAGGCGTGTTTGGAGTTATTGTTGCAGTGCTACTTGATCCATGCGTGCTGAGTGTTGCTAAGGAGTTTGATGAACTCTTATTATTATCTGTACCAGTATTACCAGGAGTTGGAGTAGTTGTTAATTTAAGTGCAGTAGTGCCTGTTCCAGTAATAGTATTAGTATTAATTATATTAATGTTTCTATATTTACTTGTTCTGTTATGTGTAATGGATTTTTTGACATACCAATGGTTTGAGAAGAATTTGAAATCTCATTTGATGAATCTGGTCTTTCAGGCGTTCCAGGTGTCCCATGTGTTCCAGATGTTTCGGATGTTTCAGAAGATTCAGTTGTACTTGAAGAATCTGAAATTTCAGATGTTGTAGATGTTTCAGGCATTTCAGAAGTTCCAGGCATTCCTGGGCTGCCAGAAGTTTCAGGAGTTCCAGGTGTGCCAGGAATGCCAGATGTACCAGGACTTGCAGGTGTGCCAGAACTTGCAGGTGTGCCAGAACTTCCAGGTATGCTAGATATTCCTGAAGAGTCAGGAATGCTAGGTGTGCCAGGCGTGCTAGATGTGCTAGGACTTGTAGGCATGCCAGAAGTTTCAGGCATGTTAGGTATTCCTGGAGTGTCAGATGTGCCAGGAGTTCCAGGTATGCCAGGAGTTCCAGATGTGCCAGGAGTTCCAGGTGTGCCAGGAATTCCTGAAGTGCTAGGAGTTCCTGATGTGCCAGGAGTTCCTGGTGTGCCAGGACTTCCAGATGTGCCAGGAGTTCCAGGTGTGCCAGGTGTGCCAGGTGTGCCAGGAGTTCCAGGTGTGCCAGGAGTTCCAGGTATGCCAGGAGTTCCAGTTGTTCCGGGATTTCCAGGTGTACCAGGAGTGCCAGGTGTACCAGGAGGGCCAGGTATGGCAGGAGTGCTAGATGTGCCAGGATTTGCAGGCATGCCAGAAGTTCCAGGTGTGCCAGGACTTTCAGGTGTGATAGAACTTTCTGATGTGCCTGAAGTTCCAGGTGTGCCAGAAGTACCAGAAGTTCCAGGTGTGCCAGGACTTTCAGGTATGACAGAACTTTCTGATGTACCAGGAATTCCAGATGTACCCGGGCTTCCAGGTGTGGCAGGAGTGCTAGATGTGCCAGGACTTGCAGGTGTGCCAGGAGTTCCAGGTGTGCCAGGAGTTCCAGGTGTACCGGGATTTCCAGATGTGCCGGAACTTCCAGGAATACTAGATATGCCAGGAGTGCCAGATGTGCCAGGACTTCCAGGTGTGGCAGAACTTCCTGATGTGCCGGAAGTTTCAGGCATGCCAGAAGTACCAGAAGTTCCAGGTGTGCCAGGAATGTCAGATGTGCCAGAACTTCCAGATGTTCCAGAAGTTCCAGGTATACCCGAACTTCCAGGTGTGGCAGGAGTACTAGATGTGCCAGAAATTCCAGGTGTGCCAGGAGTTTCTGAAGTGCTAGGAGTTCCTGATGTGCCAGGACTTCCAGATATGCCAGGAGTTCCTGGTGTACCAGGAGTTCCTGGTGTACCAGGAGTTCCTGGTGTACCAGAAGTTCCAGGTGTGCCGAGACTTTCAGATGTGCCAGGAGTGTTAGATATGCCAGGACTTGCAGGCGTGCCAGAAGTTTCAGGTGTGCTAGGAGTTCCAGATGTGCCAGGAGTTCCAGGTGTGCCGGAAGTTCCAGGTGTGCCAGGACTTCCAGATGTGGCAGAACTTTCTGATGTGCCGGAAGTTCCAGACGTGCCAGAAGTACCAGAAGTTCCAGTTGTGCCAGGACTTCCAGATGTGGTAGAACTTTCTGATGTGGTAGAAGTTTCTGATGTGGTAGAACTTTCTGATGTGGTAGAACTTTCTGATATGGTAGAACTTTCTGATGTGGTAGAACTTTCTGATGTGGTAGAACTTTCTGATGTGGTAGAACTATCTGATGTGGTAGAACTTTCTGATGTGGTAGAACTTTCTGATGTGTCGGAAGTTCCAGGCGTGCCAGAAGTAACAGAAGTTCCAGGTGTGCCAGGAATGTCAGATATGCCAGGACTTCCAGATGTACCAGGAATTCCAGATGTACCTTGGCTTCCAGGTGTGGCAGGAGTGCTAGATGTGCCAGGACTTGCAGGCATGCCAGAAGTTTCAGATATGCCAGAAGTTCCTGAGGTGCCAGGAGTTCCTGAGGTGCCAGGAGTTCCTGAGGTGCCAGGAGTTCCTGGAGTGCCAGGAGTTCCTGGGGTGCCAGGAGTTCCTGGGGTGCCAGGAGTTCCTGGGGTGCCAGAAGTTCCTGGTGTGCCAGGAGTTCCAGGTGTGCCGGAACTTCCAGGTGTATCAGGAGTGCTAGATATGCCAGGACCTGCAGGTGTGCCAGAAGTTTCAGATGTGCCAGGTGTGCCAGGAGTGCTAGATGTGCTAGGACTTGTAGGCGTGCCAGAAGTTCCTGATGTGCCAGGAGTTCCTGGTGTGCCAGGAGTTCCAGGTGTGCCAGGAGTTCCAGGTGTGCCAGGAGTTCCAGGTGTGCCAGGAGTTCCAGGTGTGCCAGGAGTTCCAGGTGTGCCAGGAGTTCCAGGTGTGCCAGGAGTTCCAGGTGTGCCGGAATTTCCAGGTGTGCCAGGAGTGCCTGATGTGCTAGGACTTTCAGGTGTGCCAGAAGTTTCAGGTGTACCAGGAGTTCCAGGTATGCCAGGAATGCCAGAAGTTCCAGATGTGCCAGGTGTTCCTGATGTGCCAGGACTTCCTGATGTGCCAGGAGTTCCTGCTGTACCAGGAGTGCTAGGTGTACTAGGAGTGCCAGGTGTACCAGGAGTTCCAGGAGTACCAGATATGCCAGGAGTGCCAGATGTGCCAAGAGTTCCAGATGTGCCCGGACTTCCAGGTGTGCCAGATGTGCCAGGTGTGCCAGAAATTCCAGG